CCTGAGGCGGCCGTCCAGCCTTCGCGGGCTTCCTGAGGGCGCTTTCCGTGTAAATTAAAAACCTCACGGTTGTTTCATCTGTCTGAAAAATAACGTTTTCATGGAGGTCCTGCTTAAGCTGACAAAAATAAAAATAAAATAGCTTGGAAGGGCACCTGTGCTAATGCAGCGTTATGGCTGGAGTTATCTCACACACTTAGTGTTCATTTTAGCACAATGTTTTTAACTCTTTGTCAAGAGAGAAAGATTAAGTGCAGTTTTCACACAAAATAAAGGAAAAATCCGAAGTTGTGTAAGCACTCCTGGGTTCTTTTCATGGAGCAGCTTCGGGTGGATGCTGTCCTTGATCGGGCTGATGGCAGCGCAGCTGTACAGAGGAGGAATACGGCAGCACACGGTTGAGGATGAAAGAGATGGGGGGGGAAAGAACCACTTTCCGTTGCCCTGGATGGGATTAGTGTTTGGCCCTAGGAAAAGCCCCTGTGTTGGTACTGGATGCAGGAGCTTTAGGCTTTGGAGTGAGGAAGGTGATTAATGGCAGTCTCCTCCTCCTCTGCTTGAGAGTGCAGAACTCCGAGAGTTCAGTGATAAGGCAAGACCCTCTTCAACGTCCAAGGAAAAGTTAATAATAACCTAAAAGGTTCTGATCTCTATTTAGTTCTGCCTCAAATGGAATAATAATGCCATTAATTTAGTGGCATGTGTAGAATGTACAAAAGATGAGGGTGCAGAGATCTGAACATTGAGACATGTACTGTGCAACCATCTGTAGAAATCAACTCATTCAGGTGGGAAGGGACCCCAGCAGCTCTGTACCCCGACCTGCTGGGTCAGCTGTGAGGCCAGCTCGGGTTGCTCAGAGCTTTATCCAGTCAGTCTTGGAAAACCTCTGGGACTGAGACTAGGCAGCCTGTATCTCTGCTTGCTTGCCCTCATGGGGAAAAAAATCTCATATCTAGTCAGAATATTTTTTCAGTGTACATCTGTTGCCTTTCCTAAACACTGGTGTGTGTCTCAGAAACAGTGCCTCGTTCCTTTAGGTGCACTATTATGCTGATGTTGCAGCACTGTTGCTGGTCCCAAGAGCGTGCTCTACAATAGCACTGCTGGGTGGCTCTTCTGATGTGTACATGTGCTGTAGTTACCCATGTTCCCATGGTAAAGAGTGACCAAGCTATGCAAAAATTAAGTTTATAAATACAGGTCTGAAGTTAATATATATTAATGGAGTTGTCAATATATTTATTTAGAGAAAACTGAATATAAGCTGCTGATCCCAAAAGGAACGATTGAGAATCCGATTTTGGAGGTGTGATTATTATCAGATAAATTTCTGTGACTCAGCCTCTATGATTACTGCTTTTTGGACTGAAGAATGGCTGTCCAGGTCTCTCGTGGGTCACACTATAGCTATACCGCATTTCTAATTGAAACTACTGTCAATATACAGTTTTGCAATTACCTATTTGCCGTAGCTTCCTGAAAGGTGGTTTAGAAGTCATGGGTCTTTGGCATTTAGGCCAAGACTGCTGTAAATGTGATCGGTGTTTGGATGAGTTTGCCATAGACTGGGATAACTTGTTTTGTTCTGCTGAACTTTAACAGTGGGGATCCTTTTGGCTTGTTTTTGTGGTTGTCTGGAGGAAAGAATAAGAGAAGTTGTTCATAAATCTTAATGTGTTAATTAGGAAAGTTCAGTAGGTTTTAAAGACAATTAAATGCGTAGTGTGAAGTTCTATTTTGAGACTAGAAACTCTTTGGCTTAGTTGAAAGATTTATTTTTACATTTTAAGACACTAGTGCTGGCAGAGTTCATGAAAGTAAAAAATGTAACGGTCTTGTTTGAAACCATCTTTGCCTGGTAATTGAGTGATAACTGTAACTTTTCTTGATAATGTGTTTCAGCGTTTCTGGGATATTTTAAATTGGGATTGGTCAAAAGAGTGTGCCTTCTCTTGTTGAATGGAAAAGTAAGAAATGTAATTGAAGACGGAATGAAATTATGAATGTTCTAGGGGGAGGATCAGGGAGTGGTGAGACTTGGCATGACCAAAGTGAAAAAGCTTAACGTGTTGAAAGCATCAGGAGTTTTGGGAGGGAACTGCGTGGAAAGGTGAGTACTACTAGTCTGCTTTCTCAGATGCTCTTGCTAGTCTGTAGAGTGAACAAAAGTGGATAGGACTAATTACAGTAAGTAACAGCTATGTAAGTGAAAGGCTTTTTGGATCATATTTGAAATACACTTGAACTGTATTGACAAAGAAAGATGTGTCTCTTCATCTGCTTTAGGAGAAGAGGAGGAGACCTTCTGCATGACAAAGTAGCTCAAGTAAGGTAGGCAAGTTTTATACTAAAAAATCAAGTCTAATACCTGATTAATGTATGCCACTTTACCTAAAAGCTAAGGAGCCCCAGAAGGTATTGATGTGAAATTCTTTGACTCTTTGTCCTAACATGATGATTAAGAACAAGAAAATGGGGGTGTTAAAACTGACTGTAATAGCCTCTAGACAAAGGTGTTCAAAAGTACCGTAAGATTGAACGTTCATGTATGATAAACTGAATTACTTTTAAATCTTCAGGGCAAGGTTATTTCAAGTTCTAGATATGGCCAAGGAGGTCTATGAATTAACAGTATCTGTAGTTTTTAACTAAAATAAAATTAAAAAAACAAACTAGTAAAATTTGTAGGTAACTTTTGAGATGTATCACTGTGTTCATAACTGAGAAAAGAACCATAGACTTGCCATCCTTGAGCAAAATACATGGCATGGTGAAAAGTCTCGCAGAGAATGGCATGGTCTGTGGGTAATAGTGGGGGAGAAAAAGAGAACAGTAACATAACTAATGCAGTTTGGTGGAAAACAGGTGTTGGTCCCAAGAAGGGAGGCTTTATTTTCTAGTTTTGAAATAGTACTAGTGTGTGAAACACTTCTTTATGATACTACTGGGTTTTGGCTCTAGATATAATCAGTCCAGTCAATATTAAATAAATAGATCTTAGAAGGAATAAGGAAAAAATAATTAGTTTCCTTTTCGGACATTTGCAGTCATACTGACATGTGGGGGTTTTTTTGCCTTGATACTGTTTGATCTCTCTATGTGTTGCTTGATAGAACTTGCAGATGTTATAAATTGAATGATGAATAATTACTGGTGCAATTCTAATGCTTGAATTGCTTAGCAAATCTGATAGAGCTGGGAAGAAAGAAGAGATTCACATTTCCAGTGTAAGGTGGTAGCTTGAATTGCTGGGATATTTAGAATTGGAGTGGTAAATAGGGAATCTAATATCTAAAGAAAGATGATGCAGTTAAGAGGGTGACTGCTTTCTCAGGCACAGAAAGCACCTCGGTAGCAGAATCTTTAGTATGATTAGTAGTGGGTAAAAGTAATGCAAAGTTTGAAAATGCGGTACAATAGCAAACTAAATATCAGTATTTGTCTGTCTTTTTAAACTTCCTATGGATAGAAATTAATAAGAACCAAAGGATGAACACCTGTGCAGTGGTATCTAGAATCTGTCTTCCTTCTATTTCCAAATTCAGCCAAAACTAATTCAGAAAGAAGCATTTTTGGCAAGACAGTTGAGGAAAGTTGCATAGGCACATGTTTGATCCTACACTGCTCCAAACCTCTGGATACTTTAATATAAACCTGGAATTGTATGTGCTTTATTGTACACGTGTGAAGCAAAAACTACTGGGCAACAATCTATTCTTTTTCGCAGCAGATTAGATTGGGAGGCTGGGGTGGTTATCTGCTATTAGCATTCATAAACTGACTTACACAGTTTAAAGATTTTCCAGTTTCCCTGAAATTAGAAAATTATTTCCACTTAAGCTTAAACTTTTACACTTATTGGATGATTTTGAAACAGAAAATGTTTTCTGAAACAATCTTTTACTTTCTTTTGACACTTACAGCTGGGGTTGATATAAACTCTTCACTCATCTAAACGTAGACAGTGGAAGAAGAGCCAAATACAAATGAGTAATTTGGCAGTGCATAATAACATGACCTAGTCTATCAATTTTATTTTCCCTAATGAAAGGGAAGTTACTTTTTTGCTACATTGTAAAGATTGATTCAATTTGATTACTTGTTCAGATTGTTAAGGAATGAGAAAAATAAAGGCATCTTACTTAGTTCTTAAAAATGCATATATACTGCAGCCAAATTGTTGCTCGATTTGTGGCCTGGAGAGATAAGGAAACAGGCTACAAGCACTTCTGTAGGGAGGAGGGAAAAAGAGCCTGAGTCAGGGCTGTGTAGTAAGAGTTTTTTCAAATTAAGATATAGCACCTTACTAAAATAGTGTAGTGACAACACTTATGGTCTTTATTTCTTATTATTTTAATGTGGTTCTTCTCTTGTAGATGAAGTCTTGGGTGAAATTGAAATTGTATTGATAATATCCTTGCAATGATACTTAATTTTTAAAACGTTCAGTTCTTCAGATAACCAGGATGCACTTCCAGTGGGACTGGTTGTGCTTGGGTGTCCTGATAATTAGCTCAGTAACTGCAGAAATTGAAAGTGAAGAAACTCTGGATGCAGATGTTGAAGTAGAGGATTTTGACAAGCAGTCTCAAGAAACTGATGTTGAAAGAGAGAAATCTTCCTTAGAGGTAAGATTACAGGTGTCTTTAGTTAAAGCTTGCTTAATTATCAGATACATAGTTAACAACTAGTGGAGAAACTGCTGGACAAAGGCATTTAAAAAAGAGCAAGTTAACAGATGGTTGTGAACTGAGTGGGTGTCAAACCTACCAATGTGAGTTTTTCAGTTGTGTATGACATGTAGGACAAGCTTAAAGAATGAGTCCACTCTAGCAAAGTGCAAAATCTCCTACCTGTGGTGGACAGTCATGAAGACTTGCTAGTCTGTGCTTCACTCTAGATACAGAACGTTTTGTTGTAAGTCCTCACATGCCATTTCTAGAGAAGAAAGCAGAAAGCATCTTGTTCTTACTGAGATTTTGAATTTAGACCAGTTACTTGATTTCATCAGTCATAGCTTCCTCTTGACACTGTTTTTATTCCCAGAAAATCTTTCTGCATTTGTTATACTGTACTTCATAATTGATGTGGGCAATATTCATAAATTTTTTTTTCAACTTTGTTTTACTGTGTAGCCAGGAAGATAGGAAAACAGAAGAATGGAAAACATGTATGGAAAGAAATAGGGAGGAAGCAGAGAATTAGTGCAAGTTCAGTAAATTTTCTGGGGTTTTGTTACACATAAGATGTGTAATAGTACTCAATTACGTGCTTTGAAAACAGACAGCAATTTTTAAAATTGACAGATGTGAAATTTGTCACTGTTAGGAGGGATGTGCCCAAACTATAGAAATGAAGGGGGCATATAGGGGCAGGGAAGGGTGTTTTATGCTGCTAGATGTTTCTAATGAACAACATCTGGTGGTCTGGATGGATGACTTCTGGAGCTGTGATAGTGTATTTCAAATGAAAAATTGTAATTTGTGTTAAAGCATGTATCTGTCCGTGTCTTTTAGGTTGTGTACCAGACTCCAAAGCCAACTGGGGAAGTGTATTTTACAGAAACCTTTGATGGAGTGTTGGCCAGGTAAGCTTATGCCTTAAAATTATAAACTTTTACTTTCAGCAGTTTAACTTATAGTGTCAGGATTTATTTTCTATTCATTTTTCTGCTAGTATCTTTATAAAAATTAATTTTTACAGGGTTTAGAATTGTGAAGGCTGATAATACTTCCTCCAAATATATCATAATGTTAAACCAGACAGTTAACATTTCAGGTATGTTGCTATTTTTTGTGTTTTAAGGAAGCTTTTAATAAATTCTGGGTTTATGAACATTAAGAAGAATAATATAACTTAAAGATTCATCCAGTTGAGTTTTAACTAGCTGCGAGGTAAAGTGCATAGCCATTACACTGCAGTAGCAGACTCTTTCTTCCTCTTCACGTACACTTCTTATGTGTAAGAAGGCAGTGCCTTCAGCATTATAGATAAAACCTCCATTGAGGAAGACTCTTTTTTAGCAGATTTTTAATTAATTTGTTGTTTTGCGTCCAATACTCAAAGAAGATTAGGTATTTGTGAGACTGCTGAAGTGTTCCTGGGTAGCTTGACCTTACTGCATTGAAATTTTCGAAAAATCTTCAGGTTTATCTCAACAATTCTTAAGCCAGAAATTTTTGACTTGTCTGTATCTTCTAAGTTTTCCTCCAACAGTGTGGCAATGTAAGGTTTAACTGCCACTGGGTGATTTGTGTTGCTCAATTAAAAGCTGTATATTGTGAGCTATAGTAAGTTGCAACCAGTGCACTGTCAATAAGAGTGAACATAATATATTGCTTTATATTTCTGGAGCAGACTTTCTACCTTTAGTTGGAAAACAGCTTGGCTTTCAGTCTGCTTTCTAGCTCCTATATAAAAGGTGTAGAATACCAAGGAAGAACAAATGAGTACCATGGAAATGTGATCTGTATGATCACTGACTTTTCTTTTTTGAATCAAGTCAGGCTAGCATACTGTCACTGGCTCAAGTTAAGTGAGTGTGCATCCAGGTAGAATCTCTGAAAGCAGCAGAAATCTCTTTAGTAAGAGCTGGTGTGATGAGTTGTTAGAAAAGCTTTTAAAATGTGAAAGTAAGTCTCTGGTTTTTAATGACAAATCAGGTCTTGTTGTTGTGTGTGTTTGTTTATTTTTTTTTTCTGTCTGCTTTAATGCTGTTGAGCAAAAGAGCTATCTCTTGATTTGTGAAGAGTCATGAAAAAAGGTGTTTTCCTACGTTAATAAAATTGATGCAACAAAACTAACTCTCCTGTGAGGAGCCAGACAGAGGGATGAAAGGAGATGCAATACGATACATTAGTTATGGTAGAACTTAAAGCTGCCTATTTTTTACTTCTTGTGAGAAAACTGAGATCCAGCTTCTGTAGGAGTGAGGTTACACCATCATAAGACATGTATGTCTGTTGATGATGCATGATATAAACTGTAAATAAAGTAACATGGTAGCAGGCACTCGTAACTTTCATAGAGTGAATCTTAGTTCCTTTTCCCAATTGTTTCTAGACTTCTGTAGATTTCCGGGGAACTTCAGGCCACTGAACTGTCATTACTCACATTATGTTCTTTCATATTTTCTTATTTTGTTACATATTTAGACCAAATATAGAAGGAAAATAAGTTTTAACAAGCTCCCACCTTCAGTGTGTCGTTTGTCTTGGTGATGTCACTTCTAAATGTTAAGCAGTGCAATACAAGAGCAGTACCAATGATAGGAAAAATGATTAAATAGAAGAGGTGATAATGGTTTTTCAGAAAAACCCAAACCAACTGAAAATCTTGACTAACAAATGCAAAAATTTAACTGGGATATTTGAATTATAACATTCATCCCAGTTTCTAGCTTTGTGAGATCTGTTCAAAGATCAGTTTGTCTTCCTACTAAATCTAATATTTAAGGCTTTAGCTACAATGCTTGGGATTTTTTGGTCTAGATGTACATAATTTACATAAGAATAATGCGTATGGAACTAAGATGTATGAGAAAGTAAGCAGCATGTTGCCTTGCTTCCCTAAAGTTGGGGAAAAGAGTACATACAAATTGACTAGACAAATCACCAGATCAGAGTAGCTTTTTGGAGAATGGGCCTGAAAATCTTGTGCATGACTTGTAGAGATGTGTTATTTCCTCACTGGTCTTTCTCCTGGTAGATGAAGGATCTAGTTTGACATGTATACTGTGAAGCTTTTCCAGCATCTCTGCTAACAGTGAACAAACCTGGCTGAAATTCAAGCAGAAACGATGAAGTATTCATCCCTGAAATACTCCCTGCAGAGGATGGTTCAGAATGAATGAAAGTAGTTCTTTACAGAATTAACCATGAGAATGTAGTATTGTAGTTAATGCAATGAAGAGTTCAGCAACACTGTTGGCTTAAGATACTCCCATGCATGGCTCAGATAAAACCACTGTATAACTAGATGAGGGCGGACTACCCTTTTTTCCTTTTTTTCTTTTCTCCAAATGAACACTTTGTGCATAGGGTGCGTGCGTATCTTTTTGGTAACCTCCGTTTGCTAAGTTGTTTCCCTTGTTCCTAGTGTCAAGGAGATCAGGAGTTTGTTTGCCCTATTGGGATCCCCCATGTGCAATACATTTGGAATCTGTTTAGTGCATAATTGCATTTGTCATTTGAACACTTCTGCGTCTTTCCTTCATCTTCTGCTTTGCGTGTGTACTGTTCCTAACAGATAACGTTAAAGATTTCTTTGGGTGGGTTTTTTTTTCCCCCTATCATGTTGTAGGTTTTACACTTGAACTTCACTATTTTCCATGTATTTTTGACATTATATGCTCATGTAATATCGGTACATTCTGCCAACTTGAGTTTGTATATAAACCTGGTGTTTATTCAGAATACTTGTATTACTTTAGAGTTACAATTGTATATTTATTTATATTCTTAGGAAGTATTTTGAAAGGTTGTATTAGACTAATGTATTAGTTTTTCTTTTCATGGTCTGTGAACTACACAATGTTCCATGATGCTGACTGTCAAAATCATTATTACAGGTTCACATCCCAGAAGTGAAAGCTTTTTTTCCTGTACTTGTTAAATAGTACATGTTTGCACAGATAGTGAAATGACTAATGCATTTCTTGTTTTAGGTGGGTGCTGTCTAAGACCAAGAAAGATGATGTAGATGATAATACTGCTAAATATGACGGTAAGCGTTTTTAATGTTTACTTCCACTATTTAGTTTCTGTTGTTCTGTTGCTCTTTGAGAAGTAACCCTTACACTGAACTTACCTTTGAAAAGCTAGATGGCACGGGTCAAATCATAGTTTATATTGTGACTGTTATCCTGAAACTGAGATGTGAAATATTGCTCATTGGGTTACTTAGCATGAAGATAATTTTTTTTAATGATCTCAACAATCCTATTATGATGAATGATACTAGAATACCTCTTGGCATCTGAATATTCAGTATTGATTGTTTATGAATAGTGCTTCTTGAGAATTACCTTCTCTGAAATCGTGTTAGAGAGATCTACCACTTGAATTTCAGTTGTTGAATTTTCATTTGAATTTTCATTTCTAAGGCAGCATGTTCCATGTTGCTGCATCTGTCCTACTGATTCATCAGTTGATCTCCCAGTCTAGTCTCTGAAACAAAAAAGTTAAACTGAATGATGTTTTTCTTCAAAATGCTTTTTCACATTGTCTGTGCTTGAATGTACAGTAGTCTAAAAAAATTTTGGAAAGTAATAATGAAAAAGTTGGTTTGATGGTTTTTATCATTGAGCTTTGCACTGGATTTATAAATTCCTAGGCTAGGATTGTCTGCTTGAATGTAATTTTAAATTGTTGATGGATGTGTGATCTGTGGCAATAATTTTGCAACCTGAATTTATTTCCTACAAGAAAAAGTGGGGAGAACAGAAAAAGTTTCTGCTGCAAAAGAAAAGTATTTGTTACTGTTCTTATGTCAAATGAAATAGATTAATGTTAACAGAAAGTGGTAAGCAAAAGTAACTTGTAGGACTTTGTGCAAAACAGTGCAGAACAGATGTTTTTAGATTTAGCAGTTACCAGAAATAACTGGTAAAAATAAAGACATTGCAGAGGAGAGATCCATACAGATGAGATGCTTATAAGAACAGACATCTCTCTGGTTACTTGGCCTCATTAGATTGAAATTGTCTCTAATGTCAAAACAGTCATATCTGCGTAAAGACACCCGGACAATTCAACATAAAAAAAAAAATCTGTTGTGAAAAGATTTTTTTTAACTATTTTCCAATTTTTCCCTTTTTTTGTTGTGGTGTTTTGCCTGGCGTTATTGCTTCGTCTTAGTTTCCAAGAAGGTACACTATTGAAGAGGAGGGAATTCTCCTCCCTTCTGTTTACCAGACTAGAAGAAACTAGGGATTTGTTGTTGACATGCGTATCTGCCCTTCCTTAATGACCTTTCACAAGTTGCATTTCAGTTGAATAAAAGTAAATAGCTGTTTTATTCACATTTCACAGTTTCTGAATCTTCTCTAAAATGCATGCTGAAGAATTCATTACATTTTCTTCCTTTTGTTCACATTGATGTAGGCTTTTTTAAGATTACAGGGAATTGTAAAAGTAGTCTTTCTTTTGTGGTGTTCTGTTTCCTAGAAAAAAAATCAGTGAATCTTGTGCTGCTAAGAGGAAATAGAACTGCCCTTTTAGAAATCCTGTTCTTTGGATGTTGCCTACATGTGTAATCAACTGTATCTTTCCCAAACTTGGAGAATGTATAACTATATAATCTTTTATTTTTATTTAATTATGGTAGAAACAAATCTAAAATCTGGATAAATATTTTATGTTCCTTTAGGCATTGTGGGATACCACATCTAAAGATACAGATCTGAAATATTTAAGTTTTCATGTAGATTTCTGTAAATTGGAGAAGAGCAAGGAATAATGTGTACTTTTCAGGTGTGTTATCTTTAAAATATCAAAAACTAGCATGACCTTAATTGTCTAGAACTAATACCACCTCTTTGCTTTCTACAAGACTATGATATCTTTACTTTAGCCTGCATTTTTTTTCAAAGACTGTGTGTGTGTGTTTCAGGAAGATGGGAAGTAGAAGAGCTGAAGGAAAACACAGTGCCTGGAGACAGAGGATTAGTGTTAAAATCAGTGGCAAAGCATCATGCAATATCAGCTATGCTAACAAAGGCATTTATTTTTGATAATAAACCTTTGATTGTTCAGTAAGTAATCCCTCAGATTTTTTATTTTTTTTTCAAAGACTGTGTGTGTGTGTTTCAGGAAGATGGGAAGTAGAAGAGCTGAAGGAAAACACAGTGCCTGGAGACAGAGGATTAGTGTTAAAATCAGTGGCAAAGCATCATGCAATATCAGCTATGCTAACAAAGGCATTTATTTTTGATAATAAACCTTTGATTGTTCAGTAAGTAATCCCTCAGATTTTTTATTTAATATTTATTATTAAAATCTTTAAGTCAAGAAAGTAATATGAATCCATGTAGAAAAACGCTGACATTCATATAGCATTGCCCTATCATATCCAGAGCTATCAGAACTAGAAGTATGAATGATTCAATAATCAAGTAAGATTGTAGTACAAGTGTTAAGCTATATTTAAACTCTTGAAATATTTTTTGACAGAAGTCTAGTATTTTACAAGATTGCTGAAAAAGCTAATTAATTTTCAGTCTTACTCTAAAAGATCTAAATCACATGTAGTTTGAGTACAGTGTTTTTCCACTTACAGAATACTTCTGTGTAGCTCAGTAAAGGCAATTTTAATTTCCAACACTTTACAGCAATATTAGTGATGATGAGGGCTATGGCAACATGGCTATTTTTTTCTGATATTCAGACTTGCTTTATTGTATTTACAGACATAGCCAAATAACTCTTTTGGCTAAATTCTGTGTGCCATATGGGCAGTTTCAAAGGTGGCACAAACTCTCTAGAACTCTTGCCCATTTCTGTTTTGCTTTGATGTTTGCATATATTGGTTAATTGCACCCTGAAACTTTTCTTGCTGGTGATACTAACTGTAGCAATTGCCACCATGTCTTTTTTGACTGACAACACTGCTGTATTAGCTTGTATGGCAATTAAAACCTTTTGGTCATGCAGAAGTGTTTTGACAGTAGTGACTAATACACAGTCTTAATGTATCCATAATTAGAACTGTAGATTAGAAGTTAATTTGTATTTGTCTAATACTTGGAATGTTTTTTTTTAATTTTTTGCCCAGATATGAAGTGAATTTTCAAGACGGCATTGACTGTGGTGGTGCATATATTAAACTTCTCTCCAGTAGTGATGACCTGAATCTGGTATGTCCTCTTACTTAACATTTGCTATCAGTTGTTCATTTGAAGAATAATTGTTCTTGTGAAATGTTGGTAAGATATTAATTCCTAGTGCATCCTAAATTCTTGAAAGCCTCCCAAATGTTAAACAGAAGACTGGACAAGATAGTAATGTATGTATAATTGATTATATATGCACAAAACCTCCAGAGTTGTGCATTTTTTACTATTTAATAACACTATTCTTTTTATATTTTCAATTTATTTTAATGAAAAAGTTACAGGTGGTCTGAAACTTAAAGTAAGCTATTAAGATCTGTATTCACGCAAGAAATCTCGAAATGTGAATTTCAGAAAGTTAGAATGAACAATTTACTGCAATTAACATACTCCTCTTAGTTCTGCACAAGTAATGTCTTTTATCCAGGACAAAGGACTTTATCTGTTGTGATCTCTATGGTTAGTCCGTTCTCTGAGAACAGAGAGCATCCAGCAACTGAAGAGGGCAGTTCAATTCCTTTCATGATTTACCTACCACTTCTCAGTTACCTTTTAGAAAAAGGTAACTGTATGCCACAGCATCAAGGAAAAGTAGTACCCAAAATGACTTCATAAAATATACAGTATAACACATCCTCAGCTTTCTTGCTTCTACAGGAACACTTTTTTGACAAAACACCTTATACTATTATGTTTGGACCAGATAAATGTGGAGAAGATTACAAACTACACTTTATCTTCAGACATAAGAATCCTAAAACTGGAGAATATGATGAAAAACATGCAAAGCGTCCTGATGTAGACCTAAAAAAATTCTATTTGGACAAGAAGACGCACTTATATACTCTTGGTATTATTTAATTCTTATAAGCTTAAATTAGAAAGGAGAGATTAAAAATGTGTTTCTGTCCACTGAAGCTTTGTATCTGAGTCTGCCTTTTTGTTTGTAATAGTCTGTTGATTCTGGGGGTGGTTGCTTAATGAGGTTTAAATGATTGGGTTTAAATGATTTAATGACCGAGCTTAACTGCAGTACATAAAAGTGGCTTTGAAATGCTGCTGTTAAGTATTCAATTACAGGAAAAAACATATCAGCCCTGACCAGCCTTTAGCATGAAGAATTTAATAATATTTTCCATATTTATTATGATAAAAATATTTTTGGTAAGATATTAAAAAACCCACAACCATTCAATATTCATCAAAGTTCATAGGAATTTAGTTAAATCTGCAGCATGCCATATGTCACTCTCCTACACATGTTAAGAGTTCTCACTGACACCTGCATCTGCAGCTCTGTGCATCAACAGATATGTTACTGCCTTCTCTGAAGATGAATGAATTTGGGCTGGTTTTAATTCATGTTCATTTCAATTTGGTGAAACACTGAAACAGGTTGCCCAGAGAGGTGGTAGGTGCCCCATCCCTGGAAACGTTGAAGGTCAGGTTGGACGGGCCTCTGAGCAACCTGATCTAGTTGAAGATGTCCCTGCTCATTGCAGGGGGATTGGACCAGATGATCTTTGGAGGTCCCTTCCAACCCAAACTATTCTGTGATTCTAGGACATTTCTTTCTGTACCAATGAATGTTATAGCAGAGATGAAAGTTTAATTTCTTAGTTCTTTCCCCCCCCTTTTTCTAATTTCTGAGGAAGAACAAGCAATCATAGAAGAGTGGGCTAATTTGTGGCATACTGCAAATCCAGCAAAATTGATTGTGCTTTTGAACTTCCATTGAGTAAATGGAAGATGTGTTCAACTGCCATGCCATGGGAAAATGTACTGGTTTTTAACACAGTTTACCACAGTGTGCCATAGCATTAGATAATAGGAATAGGTGAAACAAAATACTCTTGTTGCGGTAAAGGAATGCATGCATTCCTGTATTTGGGCTGTTTGTTAGAAATTATGATTAAAGATACTTAAACTCAAATTGCAGTTATTCTGTTATAATTATTCAAATAGACTCCATAGAGCTGTGTGATTCTAATGCATTATGTGAATGATAACACAAGTTTAAAAAACAATCTTTGTATTGTATCTGAAGTGATATGGGGGTTTAATTTTTACATCTGTGGAGATTTGAATACTGTTGTGTTTAATGTAATTAAATTTATTTAATACTGAAAATGTTTAGGCTGCAAGTTTCATTAGATATTATCAAACTGTCATTATAAGACTGTTTTTCATCACCCATCATTATAAAACTGTCATAAAAGTGGAATAGTATTTACTTATTAATTAATAGTCTGTCTCCCTTTCCTAGTGAGGATCCTGTTTGCTGTTATTTGTCTAAGTCTGTGCTTCTTATATAGGTTTTGGTTAAAGATATTTGTAAAATGAATGCTTCCCTTATTTCTTTAATGCAAATGTCTTCAATTTAGTGCTAAAACCAGATGATACATTTGAAATTTTAATCGACCAGTCGGTTGTCAGTAAAGGAAGTCTTCTTGAGGATATGGTTCCTCCAGTAAACCCTCCCAAAGAAATAGATGATCCTAGTGATAAGAAGCCTGAGGATTGGGATGAGAGACCAAAAATACCTGATCCATATGCTGTCAAACCAGATGACTGGTAAGGAGAACATTTTTATCTGTACAAAACATTTTACACACAGGTTATTAATTTGAAAGATTTGACTGGTTTTATTCTGGTTTTTTTTTTGCTAATAACAATTGGGTTATGTTTCACTACTAAAAGCAGTAAACGTAACTGAGGTGGGTATGCGGATCTGGTCATCTGAGGAAATAAATCAAAATGGTGCTTTTTGCTGATTTGTACCCTCTATGGCTGCAATTCATAATTAAGATTACAATACCTGAAAGACTAGGAAGAGGGTGTTTTTCACCATATGGTCTTGATTTACGTTCAACAATTTCTACTTCCTTCTGTGTGAGCTACTGTTCATACAACAACTCAGGAAGAGGGGTGAAAAAACTTAATGGGAAGACCTGACTGACACCTGCCAGTTGATGACAGCAATTTCGGGGCTAAGTAGTGCTTTGAAACAATGTAAATACTATTAAAATATTTATAAACAGATAATTAGATGTCTAATTCTCATGATCTGTGTGTCTTATTCTGTTGCACCTTTGAAAATCATCCCCTTTATGCCAGTTACATTCCTCTGAACAGAACATTGGTTCAAAGTGAGGCTATTGTATTTTCTAACATAAGTCTGTAACTGAAGGGATGAAGATGAGCCTTCCAAAATAGAAGATCCTGATGCTGTTAAGCCTGAGGGTTGGCTTGATGATGAACCACAGTATGTTCCAGACCCTAATGCAGAAAAACCGAAGGACTGGTAAGAACTTGATTCAATAAGTGCAGGCTGTTAACGTGTCTTGTAGATAAGCTAGCCTGTTCTCTGGGGTAAATCATGAGTTGTGGATCAGAAGTCAATATAAATCTCGTTGTCTTTAGAGGCAGTTAAGTTGGAATGTGTAAGGTATGGCCAAATATTTGTTGTCTGGGGGGGGCTGCTTTTAGAAAAAGATGAACGTGTCAATTGCCTTTTGTTTTCTGAAGATATATAAACAAGAACAGAATATGAAAGACCCCTTTGAAAGAATTTGCTGCAATGATAAATGATGAACCAGTTTAAGTTGATAATTTGAAATCTTCAGAATAATCTCAAAGGGATCTTTAAGCATCTTATGGACAAGTGTTTCAAGCTGTCTGGAGATGTGTGAATATAATTGTATTCAATCAAGCTGTAGTAGTTATGAACATGTAACCTTTTTTTAAAAAAAAAAGTGTAGTACTCCTTAAAATAAAGTGTTTCTCCTCTTGGGTGAAGTTCTGTGAGATGGTCAAAATTCTAAAGTTGTTATAGCAAAATGTGTATGGACCCTAACTTCAGACTGGCTGCTAGTGTTCATGTCAGTCTCATCTCAAATCAGCTGTTTGTATCTCTTTGTTTCTGTAGGGATGAAGAAATGGATGGGGAGTGGGAAGCCCCTCAGATCCCTAATCCCAAGTGTGAGACTGCACCTGGTTGTGGACACTGGGTGCGTCCCATGAAGAATAACCCAAACTATAAAGGAAAATGGAAAGCACCTATGATAGATAATCCTAACTATCAGGTAATAGCAATATTACAGGCCATTGTTAAAAGGTACAAAGTTCAACAGTCAGAGTAATATATTTATCTAGACTTTTATACAGTATATTTATATTTCAGAATGAGTCTGAACAACCTCACTAAAAGTTTTCAGCTTTTTTGTATTTAATTTGCCTTTTTTTTTTTTTCTTTTAAGTATACCGGAAAATAGAAATGCTTCCCGTATTAAAACAATTTCTCAGTTAAAAGTTACTTTTGCAGCAATTTGCACTGGTACCACTTGTTTGGTATGCTCTATAGAATTGTATTCTGAATTATGTTATTTAATGAAATGTTTCTCTTTTTTTTTTGCGTTTTAAGTGTGGGTCTTTTAAATGAACACTTTTAAAAAAAATGAAACCTTTCAGTAAGCTGATTGACTTGCTAGTTCCATTTTAGTGGAAGCATCTATTTTGGATAAGTTGGATTCCCCTCCTCCCCTCCAGATATAAGAGATCATCAGTTGGATATTAAGGAGAGTTACTTTGTATTAATTATGGCTGGGGAATACTTGAATCTGATTTCTTTAAGCTTAAGATCCTAAGCATGTTTGTAAACAAAATTTGGCTCTAATTTGCACAGGTATCATAAGACTGAATTTTCCTTCCCTAAAATTTTCCCTAACGCTTCTGACTTACAGTAGCTGTCAGTTTACATATATGCTGGAAGTGATGGTGTGGATCACAGGATGTAGTTACCCTGCAGCCTTAGGCCACGAGACAATTGGTGCTGCCTGAAAGAATCCCTCACTGGTCACAAAATATTGACCAGTGCCCTTAAAAATATGTGTATGCTATATTGATGAACAAAAGCCAAAACTATATGTTACCCAAGGAGAGACAGAGGAAGAAGTAATAATATCAATGTCTTATTTGCCTGCAGTGTTAGGAAATTTGTTTCCTAGAATTATTCTAGGAAGTTTACGAAGACTGTACTTAGAATCACCAGTATCAGGAAGAATGGAGATACTTTGTACTCAGTTACTACTGTAACTCTGTATAGACAAAAAAACCTAATTTTAAGAGGCCTGCCCTAAGCCAGAAAATTGAGACCCATCAGCCAAAATCCTATAGGCTATTTCCAATTCTGTTTTTATGAAGGCTAAACTCTACCCCTTATATTTTTAAATAATGCATTTAAAATAGTCAGGAAGTTCTAATTATCTTAAAATTTTTTTCACAGTTTTTTTAGTGAGATATAGGTAATGTGATTACCTTTTTTTTTTTCTTTTTTCCCCTCCTTAAAAGGGAATCTGGAGTCCTCGAAAAATACCTAACCCAGACTATTTTGAAGATCCTCACCCATTTGAGATGACCACTGTCAGTGCTATTGGTTTAGAACTCTGGTCGATGACATCTGATATCTACTTCGATAACTTCATTATATGTTCAGAAAAAGAAGTAGCAGATCGTTGGGCAGCAGATGGCTGGGGCTTGAAGAAGTTAGTAGCAAGTGCTAATGAGGTATAAACTTCACTATGTTCTTGGTATCCAAAAGTAGTGAGGAAGATGTGCTGTTGCAAGAATTTTCTGTTAGTTAATGCTGACAAAATATTAATTTATCTGGAATTAATAATCTTGCTGAGTAACTATGATACACTTTTTTCTCATAGTTTGGCTTTTTACCTTTCCCAGATCAATATCCTCTTGAAACTAAAAGGGTACAACATTTTATTTAAACATCTAGTGAGAAATTTCCTTTAGTGTAGTTAACGAGTCTTCTGCTGTTCACAATGACAGTAGAAATTCAGTACCTGCCTGCAAATGGAAGATGAGTTACACTCAAAAGACCTCTTTAGATGTTTCCCTCTCATCTGGAATGGGTAGTCATGTGATTTTTCTAGTAATTTTAGGCCTGTGGTTGCTTAGAGGTATATTACACAGCTCTGATAATAACACACATCGAGCTGCATTTGTTCTTCTGTTTCTATGTGTGCATCCACATTTTGTTTGTATCCTGCACTTGGCCAGCCGCCCCAGTTTTTTCTACCTCTCTTTCCTGTGCTGTAGGATGAACTTGTCCTGATGTATGGGACCCTGAGCCCCTCTAGTGGCTGCCTTTACCGCCTACAGTTTCTTTCTAACAGTCCTGTATTTTCTTTGGTTGCGTGGCAAGAGCAGGCCTGCAGTTGTGGGAAGGAAAGGATGGGTTGGTGGCAAATGGGGCCAATTCCTGACAGCTGCTGTTCATCACAAGATGAGCAAGTAAGCCGTGGCATATCTGCCCGTGCAGTTAGGAAGGGCACCACCTCCCACAGCCTTGCCCTTTTCTGAAATGTTTGGGTTTATGTCTGGACCTGTATCTATACCTGTACACACAATAGCAAAAAATATTCCTTGAGTCCCCTCACGCCACTGTGCCTTTCAAACTTCCCACATTAGTTACTGATTTATCTTTTCCAGAGGTCTTACTGGAGCAGGCACTACTGTGTAAGTGAGAACTGGGCTGGGAGGAAAACTTCCTCCCTGAATTATTGGCTGTCAAAGGAGAGAACATCATAGTACAGATGGAGCAAGACATTGCTCTTCAGGAGGCTGGCTGCTGCTCTGAGGTTCTAGGTGCTTTGGGGGGCTTTCGGCTGAGTTAGCAAAGTATGGGGGGAAAAAATAGAGTAGCTGGGAAGGGTGTAAAGTGTGAGGTTGCCAAGACTTCAAATGTTGCTTTACAAAATTGAGAAGTGGCCAGTGTAGTATGTTTGGAGTACCAGGTTTGTTCCTTCTTACTAAGTGCCTGCTATTTATTTGCAATCTGTTAGGTTGTTACTTAACTGGTATTGAAATCCAATATTGTGTTAGTCATTAAAAAGCAAAGGTAAAGAAGGGTTTTCTTTTGGCAACAAAAAGCTTAAAATGTATACAGTGCACTTTGGAAAGTTACTGAAGTGTTGAGACGGATGTAAACACAATTTTTTTTTTCTATTATAGCCTGGTATGTTTAGTCAACTGGTGACTGCTGCAGAAGACCACCCATGGCTCTGGGTTCTTTACATCTTGACTTTAGCTCTCCCTGTTGGTCTAGGTGTGTTGTTCTGCTGGCCAGTAAAGGTTAGAGAAATTTACTTTGTTTTTATTTGGTTTTATTCTTAATACTTTATTTGAAAACTCTTAGCATCTGTGCAACAATATGCACTTTTATTGTGCCATTGATATTAGTTAGCTTACAGTGGTTGTTGTGTTTAATTCTTAATTTGACTTTAAATATAAATTGATTTTTAATTTGTTGTAGAAAACAGATGAAGATATTGACTTCCAAAAAATGGATATATCTAAGCAAATTACAAAGGGAAAACTAAAACGAGAGGAGTTAGAAGATGATGAAATAGAATTAGAAGAAGAAAAAGACAATGAAGATACTGCTGAAGATGGTAAGATGAGCAAGCCAGCTTGCAGTTTGATTAAATATAAAGACATGAATGGGACTAGTTCATGGATTGCATTGCCAATAGTTACAACCAGTTATCTCACAATATGCAAAACCTGTCTTGCTCCAAGTCTTCTTTTTCTCTTCGCCAACCTCCAGGGAGTAGCATTCCATGGCTAATAGCTCTTTGATAAATACAAGCAGAAAGTAAGGCTCTCCTAGTATTTTTTCAATTTCAATAAATTAAAGTGCTTCTGACAGTCTTTATGTTTGTAGACAGTGATGTGTATTTTCTCCCTTCTAAATAGTTCATATATTGAACACATTTGAATGGTTCAGATATATGCACCTGAAGTGGTTAAAGGTACATTCTTGTCTTTAAAATATGCCTGGAATAGCTTTACATCTTTAACATAAGTCTTTCTGTTTACTCTTCTGTGGGAGGGTTGTACCGTGGACTAATCTGTTGGTCACTGATTTTAGTAACTCTGGTTAAAGCCTGAAAATAGAGTAGACTTGAAATACTGAAGTCTGCTGCTTCATTTGTGTTGCTTTCTAGCCATGCATTGCATGCATGCAGACATCTGTCCTGCTGCCCCAAGGGAGAAATCAACGATTCAGTAGGTTAAGCTATACTTTTGCATCCAAGGATCAAATAATTTACTGACATGACTTTTTAGTAGTGACTGAAACTCTGCAGATTTTGTCCATCTCTGCACTATGTTCCATGAGTGTTGATGGCTTCTGCCTCTATGACTTAAAACTTTACTCAGCATCAGATGTTCCCATACCAGTACCTACAGAATTGAGTACATGGGCACGATGCTTGCCACGCCAGACTAGTCCACGTACCTTACCATTTGAGAGCCTTACCTAGACAGTTAATTATTTTAGTTATGCTACATTTTTTTTTATGTTAACATAAATTTTAGGGGCAGCATTTCAGAATTGTATCTTCCTACACTTTCCTTTTCATCTTACTTGATTTGACCTGCTCTTTGCTCCTGAATTACGGAATCTGTTTTCTTTTACCCAGTTTTGATGCACGTGATAGGTAAGTTTTGTAACTAATACAGTACTGTTACAAGGCTGTCTGAGATACCTGAATTCCAGTATTCTTCTGTTAAGTCAGCCAGTTAAATTAGTTAATTACAACATGTAATTTAATAAAGAGTATGGTAAAGTGTGTATTTGAAAGTTAAAAATAAGGTCTAGGCAACCATAGAGGAAAACTGGTTAGCTTACACAAGTTTTTTTAAATAATTCCACTTGGAACAGCTGTTCATGATTTTTCAAAAAACAGATTCCATTTTAGACCTTTACTTTTAGTTACTAAACTGAATACCGAGTAAAACTAACATAACTAGCTTTTGTATGACTATTCCAAGGTTTTCAAGTAAATTATAGGCTTCAGAGGGAAAAATTACATTTTGCTGTCATTTGACTTCCCGATTTCTCTTTCTTTAAGAAGAATTGCTTCGCTTCCCGTAGCTTCCTGACACCTTTTACATTTGCAGGTTGAAATCTTCCCTTTTTTTCTATCACTCTTTTACCTCTTTGTATCTGAAAGCATTAGAAAACTTGTCTTCTGCCTTCTTCTGCTGATTCTTTTTGCTACAGAGAGAAGAGAAATGGAGGAGATAAAAAGAGAGCTTATAAAGAAGATGTGCAGGGAGGATTCCTCAGGTACTGGGAAAGGGAAGTAATTTGGGCCAGGACTTGAAAATGGTCTCTCCTTTGTTTTTTTTCCTCTGGTTCCTTGTTGATGGTAGAATTTCAAGCTGGGGGATGCCAGCTTTCATTAGATACAGATGTGAGTTTCCTCTGAGATTTCTTGGTATGGTACCAGTAGTCATAAATATTTTCTGCTAGTCTCTTTGGATCCTAAAAGTGTAGCACAGTTGCAAATTTCAGAAACACTTGTAGATTTCATTTGCTCTAGTGAGAATGGGTTGCTGGCAGAGTGCTTCTTGAAAGGCACTGACCATGGGAATTAGTGTTTTATTTTGTTGTCTGTTAGGCTTTGTGTATTGCTAAAGGATGATGTGTTCTTGACTTGTCCAGTCCTCTGCTTTGTCCCGTTGCTTTCCTTGCCCTCTAGAAAAATATTCCAGGAAGTAAAAGAACGTTGTCAAGAAAATAGAGTTTTAGGGGCACAGTCTCAATCTTGTTTGTGAAGTTATAAATTTATTTATATAAAAGACTGTGTTTTTAATATTAGACTAAAATTAATAATTTTAAATACAGTTGTCCAGTTCTGGCTTTTACTACTTTTGATGTCTGAAGTGTTTTGTTTTGTTTTGTTTTTTTCCCCTCTGTTGAAATTATTACTTACGGGAGGTGCTGGATTTGCATAATTTCAAACTTGTAATCTCTTCATTAGAATATGAGCAAAGGCTTTGTGAATTTTTGCCAAACTCTTCTGTTAAGGACTTATTTTTAGAAAAGAGGCTAGGCTGAAGCTGTTAAAATTGGATATTAAGTCCAACAGTGATCAATTTATACTAATTCATGAGAATTCTACTCTCTGTATTGCAGAAATGTTTCTGTGAGTTATTGTAAACAAGCAGTTCATTCTAAAACTGAAATTGGCTTCTTTTCCTTACTAGTGTGTCTGGATATAGTGCATTTTTAATATAGTTCTGTTTACAAAGTAAAATTAATTTCTGCTACAGAAGTTGTGGGTGGAGGTGGTGAAGATATTGATGATGATGAAGAAGAAAATGAAGTTGCAGATGGAAGTCAAGAAGAAGGTGATAAGTCAAATAGATCTGGTTCAGAAGATGAGGTAAGTTTGGGTTTTTTCTCCCCTATTTTCTCCTTGCCCTTGTCCAACATCACACTTCTAGCTAAACTAAGCCCAGTTATGTACAACGAGAAGTTTTATTGTGTTGAGCCATAAAACAAATAATGAGATGGGGATGTGTTTATATTTGAGTTTGACATCTCAAACACCGTATACATTTGTGAAACATCTTCTCTTCCCATGTAATAGCATAGGAGTGAACATGCAGGTCTCTAAACATGAAGCATTTTTATGGGAGTATTGTTTTTAACAGGCTTTTAAAGGAAATGCAAGTCTTGAAAATTTGGATTCTGCAGTAGGTGTCAATCTCTTTATTGTGGTACTTAATTGATGGAACATGTGCTTCTAACTGGGTAGCCTTTCAATGAGACTTACAAAAATCTTAAGCTTTCAGTTTTGGGGTTTTTATTTCCAAAATAAGGTTTTAAACAAAATTAGCATACCACTTTTGAATTCAGCACCTGCAGTTTCATTTTTTTCTTGTGCTGATTAATCCAATCACCAGGTAATCTATAAAATGTTTTTCAGAAAATAACATTGTAGAATGGAATTTGTGTGTACCTTTCTTGTTTGTCATTATCCTTCCATTTGGAAACTCTGATATGTCTGAAATGCTTTAGATCCACCCACAGTATTTCTGTTGGTCATCTTGTACTTGCCACTTATTAAATGAGTCTCTTCCTAGATTATGGGAGTTGTTTGATGTAATGTTAACTCCTCATGTAGAGCTCCTACAGAACTGTACCTTGCATGGGGTTGCATTGTTTAAGCACTGAAATTCTTCACCGATTACCCCTTACTTATTCAGTACTTCCTCTTGTCCTATAAGTGTTTTTTTCCTTGTACATTTACCTAGGAATACAGTGTCTGATGAACCCCGTTAAGGTGCATGTGACTCTTTGTGAAAGTAATAACAAGACCTGTATGTGTGTATGCTATTACACAGTATCACAGTGAGGTCCTGGCTTGCTCTTCTCCAGGTGTTCTCAAGGGTGTACAAGTTTGTGTCGTGAGTTAGCTACTGACCTACTTGGGAGGTGTCATACACACCATGTCCTCGCTCAGGTTGTGCCATGCTCTGAGCTGCTCCTTCTGAATGTGGTGCTTGCTACTAGGTGATGCAGGAAAGAGAGGAAGCAATGCATTGTCTGAGAATGGAGTTCATGTCGGAAAGGCTTTTCGTGGGCCTCTGTAAGCTAATTGCTTTTGAACTGCGAAGAACAGACATCTGATTTAAGAACAGTTTGTTCTGTTTGTAGCTCTCTAAAGGGGGCATGTTGTGTTTTAAATGCTTCTTGCTTAAGAACTGGAAATTAAAATTAGCATAAGATGCACTGTAAGGAAGTTGTTAAATTCATGAAAAAGTAACCACTTCTAAACTAGTGAGTAAATGGGTAAAACCAAATTTCTGACATCGGTTTAGATGTACTATTCTCTTCTTTTTGAATATAGAAGGGAAAAGTCTTCTGCTCGCTTTATCATTAGATTAATATTGTGGGGGATAATGTCCTATCACAGAGGTGTTGCATTTATTGATAATGTGATGGGGCGTGGGAGGAGGAATAAAGTAACATGCCAGTTTCAATAATTAAATTAAAATTGGCTTAACATTTTAATGCTGTATTTTTTTTTTCCAGATGAAGGAAGCTGATGAAAGCACAGGTTCTGGAGATGATCCATTAAAATCAGTGCGTAAAAGAAGAGTACGAAAGGACTGAGTTACTTCCAGATAGTGTTTGTAGGTCTCGATAATAGTAACTTTGGGTATGCCACTTCAGTGAGCCTGACAGCATGCAAGTTCCTGAGATTTGAAAGAAACAGTGGGATCATTGCTGCTTAACCTCCTATTTGAATTCTCAAACCTCTTTTAACCTTCCCAAGCTTCCTTAATAGGAAAAGTACTATCTGCGAGAAGTTAGCTGATTCGAATTTGGAATAGAACTGAAGTTGCAAGTGCGCAGCTGATTTTAAGGTGAAGATTCTTAAGATTTGAAGATTCCTAGAAAATAGTATTAGTTGCAGATAAACTTCCTCTATAAATATTTTTTTAAAACATTAATAAATTATATTTTTGCAGCTCTAGCACAAAATTAGCTGTTTACACTTGTCAGCTAAAAGAGGGTGATAGTACAGATGTAGCAGCTGTAGCAGTTCACATTGCTATGACAAAAGGTATTTTTTTCTGTGCAGAGCTAAATGCAATAATTGTTTTTGTATGATGATTTAGTGCTAGCAACAATTTTTATTGTAAATTATTTATTTTAGTTGATCTTGTTACGAGTGGTCACCTGTTCACTTTAGATATTGGTTATGGTAATTTATTTTTAAGAGATACTTTAAGCAGAATACTCATAGACCAAGTGGTAATTGATGTGACTTGTTTTCTTTTGAATGCAGATATCAAATCTGTAGAAGTGATATACAGAAGATTTTTTCCAAACTTTTATAGTTCTCATGTTCCAAGACAGAGTGGTATAACCTCTGCTTATACCATACTTGCTAAGTGTGCATTGCCTCCTAAAAATATTTAATAATTCTTGCTTAACATGAAATTTATTAATATAGATAAGAATTTTTGATGGATTAAGTTTTTTACAGATGTAACAGTGAGTAACTGGACATTCTCATATTACAGTTTAAATAAACTGCATATTGTAAAAGAACCTTTGTTTTGTTAAAGTTCAGCTGTATATTAAAGCAAACAATAAAACTGCAGTTACCAGAAATGTCTTGCTGCTTGGCAGCTGCCTATGATATTAGTAGGATGTAAAATGTAGAAATTTATTAATTAACAGATTTCCTTGTGCCTCACAAGACGTTAGTTCACCTAAAAAATATATTTTCACAGCCAATTGAGTCAGCAAAGATTTCATGGAAGTCTTTAACAAATGAATATGTGTTAATTAACCCTAATGAAGAAGCCAGTGTCTTCAAGTGCGTGTGTTGAACTGTTCAAAAGATAGTAATATTGGACTTGATTTTGTGTGAACTACATGGGAAGACCTCTTTTTTATTTTTTTTTAAAAAGTTAAATGCAACAGTTCCTTCCTTCACTTAGGGTCTACCTGCAAAGGGTAAGCAGTGAAGACTCCAGATTCCTCCTCCTGCCTGTGACTTTTCATCAATAAAGTTGTTACCAATGTAGTATCCTGCTAGTAACAAAGGGAACCCGAGCACTAGGAGCATGGATCACCCATTACTGTGAGCTGTCAGGGAGAATTTCAGCACTCCGTTTGAATGAATCTTCTCTGAGCCTGGTAAAAGTCCTTTGGAATTGTTTGGGTGTGGTTTTTTGGTGTGTTGTGTGGTTGTTTTTTTTTTTTTCTTTTTAAATCCACATCTATTTCTTCGTGTGGTATAGTTACTGCAGGGATTGGTCACCCCATAGGGGATGCTAGTCTTCCCCTAGGATTTAGAACTTAAGGTTCCCATAAAGTCTTGATTAATGCCCGATCGACATCTTTGCTTGTACCTCACTTCAGGAAACAAGGAGCCATTTATTAGGGTTGAAATAGTCTTGTTGAGACCGTGACCTAAGGTTGCTGTTTGCAATAACACTGACTCTGTAGGGCGTTGCTCACTTTAATACTGACCTGGCGATTTCAATTACCTGGAACCTTGAGACAGAAGACATCCTTCTGCACATCAGCTTACTTGGATCTAGTCTTAGGCTAGTAATTAGGAGAGAAATAGAGCTTTGGGAATTTGAGGCTCCAGAAGCCATTCCATTGATTGTAACATGGAGGTTTCACCCTGCACTTCCTGCATGTAGTCCACTTCTATCTTAACAGGTTTTTCAGGAAAAATACTTGATCTTGCTATTATGGCTGCTTGAAAGTGCTTTGAAATTAACACACTAATGGTAATCCAGTTCCAGGATGCTTTGCTATTAAAACTGTCAGTCCTCTTTGGAACTGCATCAGTAGCAGACCTCCGCAGCCTGCTCTCCTACTGGCTACCTCGTAGCTTAGTAAAGTGTTCTCATTGAGGATGCCAAATCCCAGACTGAGAATTTTCTTTATTCAGGGAAGGCTAAGTAGGACTGAGGCCTTTTTATTTAATTACAGCTGAAGCTACTCCTCAATTAGCTTTGTGAAGGTATGACGAAGTAATAATTCTAGTTTCTGTCTGACGTAGAGCTCATTACCTGGGTAGGAAATGATAAAATCTTGGCTTAAAGTTCTCCCAGGTGGAGAGGTGCAAGTTTTATCTTTGACAACACTGGATGCAGTCTGACAAGCCTTTTTCCTTTAGCTAGAACAGAATACAGAAATACAAGATTCATGTGTGAAAATACCAAGTGAGTCAGGGACTGGAAGCTTACTGAAAACAGATTAAACCTGGTTTAATCTCAATACTTGCTTATTACTCAGACACTTAAGCTATGTAGAAACAATTATGATGGCAAACCCCAGGACTTCCCCATCTTTTGACTACAGACAATTATGAGAAGTTTTAGGGTTTAAAAATGTTAAACCAAACTAATAGAGACAAATAAGTTTTTATTTAGTGTAAAGTCAGAAATACAACATCTTTAAAATGTTCATAAGTTAAATGAAGGCCACAGTAGTGGGATGTGAAATGGTATATAAATGAAATGACTATTCTAAACACACTGGATAAAATATCACTATCCAATCTTACAATACAAAACCATGATTTTAAGATTACTTGATCTCAGGGAAATTGCTGAAGTCTAACAAGCGCATGCTCTGTTACCACTTGGTCTCCTACAGTGCAGAGGGAGTTGTGCAGTGACTTGGCTTTAAAGCTAGGATGGCTTTAATGCAATGCAATCTTTAGAAGTCAAGTGCTTGGTGGGGTTCTTTTTTTTTTTTTTTTTAAATGCTGAAGCCCTGGACTAACTATGGGACTTACTGTACCTGCTAGCAAGGAGATCCTTGAAACTAATGGTTTCTTTTTGTTAAAAGGTAAAGTACAATGGCTTCATTACTGAAGAGACAGATCTTGGTTCTAGGTAACGTCCATAAATAAGTCTGTAATGCTGCTACATGGCAAGACAAAACATGCAACTGAGTACTGCTAAAAACTTACATCCTTGTTAGTATTTCAGTTTCTGCTCTTCCTTAATACTGAGTATTGCAAGACATGCCACCTCTATGGGAAGTACTCAGACCCATAAGCTGGGCTGAGCGCTTTTACAAAACCTGCTAACAAACAGCCAAGCCAGTAAAAAACAGGGCACCTTGACCCTGGGCATTGCTCAGAGCAGCACAGATTTGAGAAGCAAAAGCCACCTTTGTTCCACTGCAGTCTTCTGCCTCAGGTGTTGTGTGCAATGCCTCAGGAGGTACTTCACCAGCTCAGGCTCTGGGGGAGGAAAACCATTGCTCTAAGGCCTGAAGCAAAGGCAAGTTTGGCACTTCAGGAGGAAAGTAAAAGGTGGCAACCAGACTTGCTCTTAGTTCCTCATAGCAGATTGCTCACAATAGCATGAGGAATATTGTTGACCTTTTTGTTTCTGTAAAGCTTATTACTCAGGTTTTTATTTAAGTCTTCATCACACACATCAGGAAGATCATACATCATGACACAGTGTCTGATCATAGTTTGAGGAAACAATTGCTCACTGCAATATTCCAATATTCATTGCATGAGGAATATTGTTGACCTTTTTGTTTCTGTAAAGCTTATTACTCAGGTTTTTATTTAAGTCTTCATCACACACATCAGGAAGATCATACATCATGACACAGTGTCTGATCATAGTTTGAGGAAACAGGAAAGTGAAAATGGTTTGAAGTGTACATCACAAACTGTAAACACTCTGATGCTGCATCAATTTGGTACTTCCCTGATGTAAGTTGATATCCTTGTTCCTCTTCCCTAACCCTTCCCCTTTCCAAAAAAATCTCACTGAAAACGTATGCAAGCCCTGCAAATAGCATCATACTGTTATTACTTCACAGAAATTCTTGTTTATAGGGTTTTTTTTGTTTAAAGTTGCTTTGCTATGGGCAGTACTGTACAGTAATCTCAATATATTTGAGGTGAAAAAGGTGATGCAATTAGACTTTAAATATTTTTATCAAACAAGGTTTCAACACAGTATTATAACTGTATTATTTTGCTAATCAACAGTCATTTGTTTAACCTGACAAACTGAATCCAATTTTTAATGTGATATGCTCATTTTTAAAACAAACATGAGAGTTTAGGAAGTCTCTACACTACATGTGCACGTTGCTTCATCTTAACAATACACAAACTTATGTGTCCTGTTCATAATGTTCTTAATTCTGTTTATCACCAAAGTTTATAATCTTCAGGTATCCAGTAAAGCCACAAACTAAGGTATTTTAGCTCATGTAACCTATGCCAGTTAAAACAAAAAAAGACAGCAGCAATACAATGACATAATCTGTGTGTCAACCCTTACTTCCTTTTGCTTTTTGTGTCAGTTGTTTGGAAAACACTAGATGCTGACATCAGATTTTCTATATACTGTCCAAGAACTTGGTTTTCTGATTTCAGTTTCAAGTTTTCTTCCTTAACAGCATCTACTCGTGCTGAGAGATCTGTGAAGGTGATATTATAAGAAAAATATTAGACAGTATTGCATACAATAATTAATATATTCTATGTGCCTACACAAAACTATTAGTATTTTTAATGCAGGAAACATTGCCATAAGATATTAACTTTGAGAATGCTGTTCTACTCACAAGTTTTTACCTAAAGCCCATTCTTCCTATATTATTTTGTAGTACAGTATTTTGACAAACTTGTTACACAGACCTAATGTTAGTCTATATCTTTATTATTGAATTTAATTAAGCTATTGCAAACTAAACTATTTGGAAACAAAAGTTCAGTGATGAGCACACTCAAAGATGTGTGTCAACTATTGAGCCTAGGAAAGTTAACCATCTTGCCCCTTCTGCTTGATGTGTATTATGAGAGTTGAGCAAGCATTATGTTGCATAAAGAGGAAAAAAAATAGTTCTGAGACCTCGGTACCTTCAACTGCATAAGTGACATGCTGCTGGGCACTAAGGTAGGGCACTTTTGTTTGTTAGTGCGTGTTTGCAAAAAATCTGATGTGTCAAACTGCTAACCTTCAAGTGTGTGCTGCAGTTCCAAAACTTGGTTAATAAGCCGTGTTTTCTCTTCTAATTCCACCTGATTCTCAGCCTCAACAGCTGCAATAAACCATATGAGCTTTAATGCAACCACATAAACAGCTCAAAATTATATTAAGTAGAAAAAATAACAATGAAGAACAAGAACATTAAGAACTTATACCATCCATGTCAGCGTTCATCATTGTAGAATAAGGCCTTTCCACTTTTGAAGAGAGTATTCCTGAGCGATGCTCTGCTTAAGGGAAAAAAAAAATACCATTGAGGCAACCTTAATGTAAGTGCCTTTATATCTGGATTTTAGATGCATCTTCCTAAGTGGTGTTGAAAAGCCTAAGGCAGAACAACCTTTTTTAACATTCTTTAACTATTTTTGCTAGAGCTTTCCCTGATCTGTAAATATGATTCTTCGAGTAACTCTGCTTCAGGGTACAAAAGCCAGGGATCTAGGTTACTCCTTAATGCAGTAACTAACCCTGTGTTTCCGGGATGCCACTGCTTTCTTCCCAGCACCGATCTTTCTGGAATGGGCTGTTACAGAACCACGGAACACAAG